TCTAGTTCCTCATCAACAATGTAATAATCCTCTCCTTTTCAGAGTTGTCACAGATCTTAGAAATAATGCCCACACAGAGTCTGGCACATTGTAAGCTCTTGATACACTGTAGCTATTTTATTTATTAAAGAGAATAAAAAAAGCTGGGGGAAGATGGGTGCATTAATCAGATTTCCTGTCACGGAGACACAATACCCAATATTCACAACTTAAAGGAGGCGACCTTTAATTTGGCTCACAGTTCCAAAGGGTTTTCAACCCCGGGTGGGCAGGAAGGATGTGGCACAGGAAAACTGCTTGCTTCATGGCTACTGGGAAGAAAAGCAGAGGGAACACCAGAGAGGAAAGGGTCAGTGGTCACTCAAAATCGCAGGTCCAGCACCTCCTGGCCAGACCCGGACATGTGCTCCACCAACACGCAGTCAAGATTAACCATCCTGAGATAAGTGACGACATTCTTTACCTATTTTCTAAATCTCCCCCCACCAAATTCTCCTAATTTTATGGCATTGTTTCAATTACAAAAGTGCATTCAGACGAGCAAATCAGAGGATGGTTGTGCCAACTTCCCTGTGATGGGTGTCATCACAACCTTCCTCTTATTCTGAAGTTGGACATTTGGAATTACCCAACTGAACAAAAATAAGGAATATTCTCAAACTCACTGTGCCATGTCACTTCCTGCATGGTGGAGCCATTTATGGACCAGGAAGATACAATGAAGACTGTCAGAGAACCGCAGGAATGAAAGGCACACATTGTTTGCCCCAGGACTCAGTAGCAGATGAATAATGGTGTTTTCTTCTGGGGAAGAACAGGTTTGCTGTCAGAGCGTTTCTCTCTACTATTTTCCTTGGACCCAGGATGTGTCAGTGAAGACAGAGTAAAACCCAGTGATAGACCCGTTCTAAGGCAATTAGGAAGCTGTTTGTAATGCGATCCTCTAAAATCACTGAGGCAAGTTCACCAAGTCTGAGCAAAAGTGATGTGGGAGGCCCTACGGTGCAGGAACCCGTTCGTGTCTCTGGGCTTGGTAAAAAGGATCTGAAACAGAGCCAGAGTTCATAGAAGTAGTGTTCAGAGTCCACACCCGCCAAACGATTTCAGAGTAACTTTCTATGCTTCCAAAGCCCCTTCCCAATAGTTTAGTCCTTCCAAATTTCTAAAACAGTGAAGGTCTTGCACTTGACAACCATAAAGAGTATACCCCCATATCCTGACTTATGATCATTTAAATTATACTAGCTCTTGTATAAGTATTTAAAGTTAGAATAAGCTTTTCATCAGCATTTGTTCTTTACAACACAATAACCCTAAGAAGTGAGAGGTAGGAAAACAATTGTTACTGTGTCAACATTTTCTTGTAAATGATTTAGGTGCGATCTTTTGACAGAGGAGTAGAGATTCAGAGATGGAACTGAAGTTGGTGGGTACATGTAGAAAGGAATCAAGGTTAAAGGTCGATATGCAAATACACTTCTAGGAATACAGCCTGCATGAGCGCCTCTCTGGATGGATAAAGGCGTCTACATAATACGTTCACGGCTTCTGTGTTTGCGATAACAAAAAAGAAAAAATGTAGAAGGTCAGTAGTCAATTAAGAATAAATTTACAACATGACATATGGAGTAGCTCAAAAAAATAAGAAACTGGACAATAGGCTATTGTGTGAATATATTAAAAATAAATTACATAGCATTACGTCCAGCAGGGCTTGTTTGTGAATATGGGAATACTTAGACCACCAGAAATTTTCATAAAGGCACTTTGTGGTTATCTACAGAATATTTCTAGACGTTTCAAATCTGAGTTGGAAAACAGAGTCACGTTTTTCATCAGGAACATACCAGCAGACATTTTTGAAAGTTTTACATATCATAAAAACTTTACCTTCAAAATAAAAAGAAGTTAAACTTTGAGGGAGTATAAAATTTATATGGAAGGAAAAAAACCAAAGAAAAACTGTTCACAGAGTGCTTGTTATGTGCCACATATACAGCATGTGTGCCATATATACATATACATATACATATACATATACATATACATATACATATACAGCATGTGTGCCATATATACAGCATGTGTTGTAACATCCAATCATGACAACTCCATAAGGTAGGGCTTACCTTCGTTTTGCAAATCAGAAGTGGAACCCCAAGAAGCCAATTCGTTACCTCCATGAATGGAGTCACCCCAATTTTCTCAGATATCAAAATCCCTATATGTGTATTTTCATAGGCCACACCAATAGATATTATTGTGTATAAACATAATGAGAAAAACACCAAACGAGAGCAAAACTACTTTAATGTCTGGAATTGGAACATGGAATGTAAGATTTGTCTCCCAGGGTTGGCTCTGTCACTATGTTAGGCCACCCTTCATTTCTAAAGCTAATGAGTATAGAATAGTACATTTGTGCTCATTAATAACTGTGCAAATATGCTCATAGGGTCACTGTATGAAAAAATAATAAAGACAAATCAGGATGGAGCAGATCCAAAGAGCAAAGTGAGAAGAAGGATTAAAGAGGTCACAGTGAGCACTAGCTTTGCCACATTTTAAAAATCTGTCATTCTACTCAGGACTCTATAATGAAAGCAAAAAAAAAAAAATTTTTTTTTCTCTCAAGGCTAAATGGTAAAATGGAAAACCTAATTTAATGTTGCCTTTATATTACCTTCAAAATAAAATTAAAGTTATCCTTTCACAGAAATGTTTTGCCTTTTCAAGGTTAAGAAATAATCAGACAAAATCCTATGAAAGTATTCATTTCTCTGTGATTTCTTTCTCCTTTGTTCTTCTACGGTTAGAAAGCTTATTGACTTGTAATTGACTCTTCATGCTAATATGCACAATATTTATACATCTATAAGTAATACTGCCTGCCCAGTGCCGTTCCACACAGAAAAAATAGAATTTTATGTATCATTAAGCAGTTTCTAAGGCACCAGCAATTGCATGCAAGGCATCAGTGTAATGACTAGTACAACTACTTGCTAAATAGCAGAGTATTTGGAAATTTTTAAACCACTGCACTGGATACTTGGATACATCTGGACTCCCTGATCAAGCTAAACCTCCTCTCCTGTCCACATGAGTTTATTTCACAAGCAGCCACCCCCCGCCAATGGTTTCTCATGGAGGAGAGGGCGACAGAGGTTATAGTAGTCCCAGTTGCTCCCAACAGAGAGATCCAGGGACGGGGACCAGCTACGTATTTGCAGTATAACATGAAAACATGGAGCCCCTCACTTCAAAAATTAAGAAAAATGTACCCCTGAAAGTATTAAGGCAAAATTTCCCTCTGTTTTCTGTGGTCTCTTTCTTGACCTGCAAAGATGGTTTGTTCTTGTTGTGATTTGGTTTTGCTTTTTAACTTGCTATTTAAAGTCTAAGTACAGAACACAAAAATATAATCATTACTTTTCACCTACATAGTGTGCAATTTCCGTTATATCAAAGATCACGAAACTCACAGTTATCGTTGAAATTAGATAATGTGTTTTTTATAGCTTATCCATGCATATATATTTTGTTCTCACCAGAACGGTGGAAATGCTACATAAAACTAAATTGTTTTTCTCATTTCTTCATACATACACTGGCTACTTACTTCTTTGGGCAAGTGAGGAGTAAGGGAGAACTGGGGAGTATAGAGAGCCACTGGTCACCCTGTCTTCCCCTTTCTTCAAAGCATCACTTTCAGCCCAAGTGGATGGCTGTTACTGGGAAGTCACACAGAAAAGGTTTGGTGGATCCCTTAGCTACTGTTGCTGTGTTAGAAGTAAGACCTGCTTTGAATCCCCCCAAACTCTCACCTTGTGGGTGCCCCTAGAATTCAGTGTTCATGGGCACCACAAAGGTTCTATGCATGTGAGGACCCAGCAAATGCACGTGGTGTACATTTCCTCTTCTCAGACGCACACTCCTGTGCCTCATTGGACTTAAATTACAGTGCACAAGTTCAAAGATAAAATCGGTAAAATTTAAAGCCAGCATGAGGACCTTCTGAGTGGGGGTCCTGGGACAGCAGGGGTCACGTGCCATGGATGTGGCTCGGCACCTGAATCACCAAAGGCAAGACAATGTCGCTCCCTAGAGCAGTGTCCAGGGTCTACAGCTTCAGGAACGGAGGGGAGACGCAGTGACGAAAGACAAAAGCCACCCATCCAGGAAGAACTGGATGAGGGTACAGCAACAGCAACAAACTTATTCCGGTTCATTCGCAGCCTGACCAAATTAAGGTCGCCAAACTGACCGATATTTAGTCAGAGCAGTCAGAACACTCTAGAACCCCTCACAGAATGACGCCTTGTCAGTGCTGTTTGCAGCTGGTATGCGTTTAAATACGTTTGTCAAGCACAGCAAAATGTTCAAATGTATTACAACATAACGAGTGGCAGCAGACCTCATCTACTCTTGCAATGACGATCACACTGTGCCAAAATGACAAATGTGCATAGAGATGGGAGAGCCCCCAAATTTAAGAAGGATGTCACCAAGTCCCCAAAAACTGCCCACATAAAGTAAATTGAACTCTTGTAATGATTCTGGATGCCTCATGGATTATTTTTCATGCATTTCTGCACACCACAAACTTATTGCCTTTTTTATTTACAATAAAAGTCTATTCTTTGTTCATTGAGTATTTTTGCACAAATAAACAGTGTATTTTAATTACTTCTTAAGGGTTACTATGTTAAATAAGGAGTCGAGAAAATAATGATTCATATCTATAGCACAGATCATGGGACTAGTCCTACAGACCTTAGACTGACTGACTAATTTAATATTTAACAATAAATATTAAATTTTCAGACCACTAGGACTTGTTTATATTTCTATATCCATCAGACCTAAACAATCATCAACCCTTTCTTTTCCTGAACCAACTCTTCTTGAGGAGTCACAAAAGTAAACAGTGTTTTTGCTACTGACTGAGAAACGTAGTGATGACAAACATACTTAATTGAGATCCTCAACACTGATGCCGCTTGCTTTCTTTTATTTTTATTTTAGTACAGAGCGGGCGGGAGTGACTGTGTACACACGTGTGTGTTTGTGAACATGCGCATTGAGGTGAAATTAAGGCATGGTGACAGGGAAGACTTAGAGAACAAGCAGGCAAAGGGAGAGCAGAGAGTGGGATATGGGGATTTTTCCAACTCAAGGAGGCAACATGTGGGCAGCCCCAAGGTTGCACACGCGAGGGGAGGCAGGGCATACTGGAGTGGCCGACAGAAGTTTCAGCTGAAGTGCCCAGTAGAAGCCTAAACACCCACGCAAAATGCTGCACCTTGCCCCAGACAGAGGGGTCTCAGAGAGGCACTCAGGGAAAGTGGGGCTGGGGACATCATGGGTCTTGCCGAATGAGAACGTAATGGATATGATGAGGCGATCGCAAGTCAGGAATCTGTCCTAGAAAGAACTTCTTCAGCCCCTGCCTCCTGGAGAACTGATTTCTCTCTGTGCAGAACAGAGCTAATATCATCTGCCTGTTCCTTCTTGAGAGAGCACATTGCTTGCCACACATATTTCTTTGCCTGAGAGAAAATGAAGAAAAAAACTTAGAATACTTTACTAATATAAGAGATTATAAGGTATAGATGTGAACTGCAATTTAGCTCAGTTACCATGCTCCAAATAATATATATATATATATATATATATAATTAACTGAATAAAGGCCAAACCATGATCCAAAATCCTTAATAGAAGAGCTATAATGGGAGTAAAGTCCAACCTCTATCACTGAATGTTGTCTATGTCTTTTAAAATGAGCACATCTACCTCTTGATTCCGGGGTATAAAACTCTCTTTCATGGGAGCGTCTGAGTTTTTTCACACGCAGTTTATTTTCAGTATACCTAGTGCTAACCTGCCACTCTCAATCAGATTCCGATGAACGTTAATGGAAGAAAGGTAGGTATAGTCGATAAAACCCTATTTAGTGCCTGATTTGTCTCTATCTGCAGTGCTTTTGACTTCAGAACCAGATCATAGTCTTAACTGCTCTAGGTCTGCAGATGTCATGATACCCAGAAGGGTGTTCTTGGCTTAATTTTAAGAATTATACACACACACACACACACACACACATATATATATATATAACTACAGCCTCTTCCTAACAGTGTGATGTGTTCACTGGAGGTCCCTCATCACCTGATCTCAGAAGGCCAGCAAAGCTTGGTCCGGTTGACTATTTCCCCAGGTGAGAGTGTGAAAAAATCCACTGCCCTAGTGACAACTGTGAAGCCATAGAATTCACTTCTAGCAGCACACTTCAGTACAGATTTCTACATTCCAAGAAGGCTGTAGCTATCATAGCTTTGAACTATACTTCATAGGTGGACAGGACGAGACTGGTAAGTAAACTGGTTTTTGATAGTCCCATCAAGCTACTGAACAGTGGATTCTGATACAGAGCTGTGGAGTGGATTTTGTACTCCACTATAGAATGGTAAGATCAGTCAGCAGTTTGCTAAGATTAGGGAAAAAGAATGGTTAACTGCTGTCTTCCTGATGATTCGTCTGAAAAAGACAATTCAAGCCTTTGTAGCTGTTCCTTCTTGTATAGGCTTTGGTTTTTATTTATAAAAGAAGAAACATCCTTCTACTTTATTACCTACTATGATTCCCATTGAAATCTTCAGCAGACACTGTGTTTTCATAACCGTGGTCTCAGGAGATGCTCTCTGAAATAGGAAAGAGTTCTGTGGTCACAGAAGTTAGGGAAAGACTACAAATTCCCATCACTCATGGGTTATTTGCAATAGAAATTACCACAGTAAAACTGCCAAGAAGAAATCTACGTAATTTCATCTCACCCAAGGACTTTCCAAACTGCTTAATAGCAAAACCTTGTTTTCAGGTAGCACCTAGTAACATCCTGTGGAACAGTGGCCCATGACGTGTCCTTTGGAAAGGACTCAGTAGAGCCAGAGGACACCAACAGAGTCAACATTATGAAATACACATCTATTATCAAACAGGAGGAAAATGCTCAAATAAAAAAGGGGACCAGGGAGGGGGAAAGGAAGGGAGGAAGGAAAAAAAGAGGAAGAAATGGAAACAAAGCTTTCGTAAATAAGGAAGGAAAGGGGTTGAAGGGAGGATATGGGAATGAGAGAAAAGAGAATTAAGATATATATTAAGCACAGGTACAAATTCCCTATGATGATGTGATCATTATGTATGTCTCAACGGTACCAATAAACCTAATTAATAAAAAATTCTCATCTTATTTCCACTGCATCCATTCAGATACCCAAGTATTAACTCATCGTATAGACTGAGAAGCTAGATAAAAGTATCACAGGCAGTTAGACAGGGCTCGATTTAGGGGAGTCAATACAAAGAATTTTTATTTTTATTTCCAGCTGTGGCTGGAAGTGCATCTGACAGAGGCCAGGTCTCAAAAAAGACGAAATGACCAGGCCCACCTGCCTCCTGGATCCCCAGGACTGGAAAGTGTGCTCACCCAGTGGACACTGGTTGCCCTGGCTGGATGGCTAGAAGCCTCTGGTTTGTCTCTTCCTTAAAAGGTCCTTATTTCCCTGCGTCCTTGCTACGTGACCTGTTTTCCTTTGAATCAATGTTACCTAAGTGGCTAACCTTGTAACCTTGTTGGTTAGTCATAATTTTGTTCCATGTTGTACCCACCTCACGACTTTGCTCCCACCTCTGTGATTTTGCTTTATAAAACTTACTCTGCACAACAGGCCCACAGCAATCCATGTTTCAGGTCCCCTCCTGTCTCTCAGGAGCTGTTTCTGTCTCTCAATAAATATTTCCTGCTCTTAACTCCCACTGTCCCTTAGAAGTCATTCCTCAGTCTTGGGAAACAGGAATGCGGCAGATCTGACACCCACAGGTTGGGAGTTACATTGATTTCCCCTGAATCATACATGGATTTAACATTCATGATACTAAAGTCATTGATGACAAGAGCTATATCAACACAGTATCTGCCCTGCAGGAGCAGCTAGCGTTCTTGGAAAAAGATATCTCTCTTTAAAGGGAAGTTGCACAGAAAGGCCACATGTGATTGGGTAAAACTTAGTGGGGCAGAATTAAGCACTATGAGAGTAGGGGGCAGCTGAACACACATTACCCACTTTTGGAGACAATGGCAAAACATACACACACCCTTTGTTCCCTTCTGCCTGTCATTTTTTCTTCCTTTCCCAGAGACACCCAGAATACAAAATGTGTTGCTTGTTCTGTGCCCACAGCTTACGCAGGTTGGGGTCCCTACCCTGTTAAGCCCAAAGGCATTCAGTCTTAGAGTCTGTTGTCAGGAAGCCATAGATCTCAGAGCCAGCGGTAGAAGGAAACTCTCACCCTCATCTAAGCCACCCCAACCTTGGCCTGGCCCCCTGCTCTCCTGGCTCTGGTCCTGCCCCCACCTTACTCTCATTCCCCAGGCAGCCCCGGAGAGATGCTTTTCAGATGTAAATCTGACCGGGTCTTTTGCCAGTGGCTTCCCACCACAGTTAAAATAAAACCCAAATTCCTCACCACAAGTTACAGCGCCCTGTGGTGACCTAGGCCGTGCCATCTCCCTCCCAGGACCCCAGCCCCGAGTACCCTGGCGTCTTCCCTGTGGGGAGGCCTGTGTCTCCTCTGCAGCTCTCTCCCCCAGCCTTTTCTCCTCACCACCTCAGGCCCCTGCCCGCAAGCTGTCCCCTCAGGAAAGCTTCTCTGGGGCCCCCATCTGTGCCTCATAGACACTCCTACTTCTCCCCGGGCTTCCCTCATCCTCCTTTTTCTTCAAAAGTCTCATTCTGACTTTTTTATACCAATATCTTTACTTGTTACCTCAGTGGGGTGGGGGCATCACCCCACTCTGCCCAGTGCTTCAGTGTGCATGGCCTCACACTACTGTCCATAAATATTTGCTGGCTAAACAAGCCAGTCGCTGAGTGAGTGACTGACTGAGTTACAATAGAATAGATAAGCACAGCAAAACAGGCTATGTCAAAAAATATCCAAAGAAACTTCTCGTAGAAGTCCAGTAGGTGAATAACAGTGGGGAAGGCCCAGGACTTTCAAACCTTGTTCTGGAGAAAGTCACATCTGTGAGGCTTTCCTTTGTAAGTTATTCAATGTCTGTCTGTGCGCCTTGGTTGTCCTAACTGTAAAATGGGAACAGTAATAACTACCTCATAGGATTATTGTAAGGATAAAACAAAATAGCATACATGAAACAAATTGGTCAAGTACCTTGCACAATGGATGGTAATTATTATTAATTCCCAAAAGCCTTTTATAGAATTTCCTTAAGTAGAAAATTAACTGCTATTAGTTCAAAGTAAATTTTCTTTGAATACACGAGAAAGATAATCAGCTATTCATGAAACACATGGAAAAGAGCAAGTCAAGACATTTTTTTATATTATTGTCTTGAACTAGCTAGACATATTCATACACACACACACACATACACACACACACACACATATACCAGCATGCTGAGGACCTGGATATCTGATGTTACTTTTTCACTACTGGTTTTAAATTCTTAGTTTACCAGGAAAAAGCTACATGCAGAGTTTAAAAAAAAAAAACTTTAATTTTGAAATCATTTAAGACTATAAATTATAAAAGTTATGAGTTTCTCTATAGCCTCCCCTCAGTTTCCACCAATGCTATCATACATAACTGTAGCGTATGTGTCAGAACTAGAAATTAACACGGGCATGTTCCTATGAACACAGTCACAGAGCTTATTTAAATTTATAAGGAAGTTTTCTCTTTTTTAAATCTTAGAGTTAGGCGCTAATTGGGATCATATCTTGGTTCCATTAATCAGGCAAATGGGACACATATTAGCATATAAAAACCATAACTCACACAATTCATTATGTTTTTCAAAGAATTTTAAAATTTAAAAAGCTATTAGCCCCAACCTACCAAGGAGTCTGGTCTTCCGATTCTGAGAAGGCAAAACACAAAGCCCTTCCAAGGTTCAAAAGGACGGTGACAAGAGGATCCCTGATTTTAATCTCTGGGGTCAGAGCTCTTCTCTCCCTGAAAACCTAATTCCTCCTCTTCCTGTCAGTTGTGGATCTTACAGCGCCTTCCCATCGAGAGGGGAAATAAAGCTGAGGCCTGACCTAGAATTCAAGGATCATTTCAGCTCCAGCTAGACGGGGATTAGAGAGGTCTGTGAGAATCGTTATGGGCAGCGGGAAGATGCCCTCGTGCCCAGCAGGGCCTTGGGGTCCTCCCCTGTGCTGCTTCAGCCCCTGCAGGTGCAAGCGCCACCTGCAGTCATCTGGTCACACACAAGGGAACACATGCCAGCTGTCCCTCACCCAAACCACAGCCTCCTTGCCCCTCGGTCTCCCCGCCCACCACTTTTCCCTGCTTGAGTGTGACAAATTAACATCCAGTCAAATTCGTTAATTTAATGGAACGGGAAAAGTTGCAAAAATATTCTTTAAAGTTAAAAAAAAAAGCCCTAAAATTACCAACACAATGTAAACTACAGGTGACTCTGTTTTGTGTGTTGTTCCGCATTATATGGAATGAGCTCTGCTTTCCTCATTCGAAAAATCCCACCCACGGGGTGGGCCGCCCAGAATAAGGAGAGGTGGCCTTAAATGGACCCAGCTGGAGATGACTCACACATGCAATCAGGGCATCGTGAAACCGAGAATGTGGCTTCTGGCTTGGAAGTTCTCCTGCTTTAAATTTTGGTTCCTCAGAAGACTAAGCATGGGAAAAGTAATGTCAAGTCACCTCTTTCCCTTGCTGTGACCTGTCACAATGAGCACAGAATTTAGACTCAGAGACAGGGGTTTGCCTCCTTGTGCCACAATTTACAGAATGTCTAAACTCGGGCGAATGTCTCAACTCCCCTCAGCATCCTCATTTACACCATGTGACTCTAACAAGTCTACTAACTCAGGGTCGCTGAGAGAATCTGCTGAGATCGAAGATAAGGAGCTTCACTTCCGTGTTATCGCATATTAGAAAAATGTGGTCAAAATCTCCAGTTCAATCCTTTAGGACACTTTAACACAGAACCCTGCCGTCCTATTGGAATTATTTAATAGGAGGCTTTTCTCTTTATTTTCTTTTTAACAGAGGAGTAAAAAGAATGTATGGAGAAGAGATGGAAGCAATTTCTCATCATAAAGAAATTTCCTTCATTAAGGTTATGAAATCTGTAGTTCTCTCTCTCTCTCTCTCTCTCTCTGTCTCTCTCTCTCTCCATGAATATTCTCCTCAAAGCTTTGCAAAGAGCCCTGCGATTCAGTGTGGGAATTCTGGAGGGAAAACCTGTACGCTCAGGCCGCAGGAGAGTTTTCCTAAGTCTTCATGGTAGCCAGAAAAATAACCAAAACTTGGTGAGCTAAATTAATTAAATTTACATGACTGTCATTTATCCTGGGATGATGTCCTCCCTACGTTATTTAGTGTAAAACTTGCCTTCCTCCTCTGGTGTGACAGTGATGGTAGATGGCAACTGTTTTGTTTGTTTTCAATGTCCTTACTCTGCAAAATAAGAAGGTGGCCACCCTATGTCAGGCCCCAATTATTTTTTGAAACTGGACTGGCCCAGGATCCGCCGGGCCCTGGGAAGCCTGGGCTGAGAGTTTAATTGGAGATGGCAGGGATGGCGGTGGGGGAGCTCATTCAGCTGCCTGTGTTGTGCTGTCCTCCTCTCCTGAGCCCGCGGGGCCCACTGCCCCACATCCGGCTGTCGCCAGTCCCTGGCTGTGTATCTGTGCCCCAGCCCCGCTGGCTCCTCGTCCCCATCCGCTTTGCTCTCCCAGCCTCCCCTGGCTGGCGTCACCCCTCGAGACACAGCTCCCTAAGTTTGCCATGTGCGGTGACCCTGTGTTGACCCCGAGCCATGATACAAACTATGGGATTGTAATGAAGCTCTAATTACCCACAGTACCTCGGTGAGTGGTCAGCCCTGCCGCTGGCTGTGTCCCTCACCAATCTGGTCATCACCATGCATGCAGACTGCAGCCAAACCCTGTGCCCGGAAGTGGAGCCCCCACTGTCTTAGTCAAACGAGGCTGGCTCTGCAGGCTTCTGGGACTGACAGCATGATTTCCTCCCGGTTATGAATCAGAGAGGGCGTTATGCACATGAATCATCCAGCTCTGTGTGGGGACTTTGTTCTGGCTCTTATTTATCCCAGTAGGTCGTGCGGTGTGGATGCCCACAGCCTGGGGCAATGTCCTTGGATGGGCTGAGAAGAACAGAGGTTAAAGCATTTGAGTTTCATGATGATTCTAAAACCCCACACTTAATTCTGAAGCCAAAAAGGGACATAGCAACCGGTCTAGATTTAATGCGCTGTGACAAGCAACAGGTCTTGATTTTGCTCTTAAAAGTGGGGAAAACAGCTTTATAATTCCAATGACCATGTCTTGACTAAAACAGAGGTACAACCAAACGATGGCCACAAAGGCATTTTCAGGTGAAAAAAGTGAGGCCCCAAGTGTTTAAGCAAGCTGTCCAGCTCAGCCGAAGTGGAAAGCGAGCGTCAGCCCTGCTCCAGAGCATCCACTGTCCAGGAATGTAAAGGCAGGCATTGGGCAGGATGCCGGTCTCCAAGGTAGATGGGTTTCTAATTCATTACAAGATCCCAGGTGAAGTACTCTTAGCTTTCAAAGTAAACACACCGAATTTTATTTTTAAGATCCAGTGAGATAATCAACATGAAAATACTCAGTTGAAAAAAGTTCCTAAGACACTTGAAAATATGCTTAACAAACTCCAGAAAATTTTCAAATCAAATATCTCCAGCATACTCATTAAACATTCTCTTTACTTTTTAAATCTGCCCTCGCATGTGGCAGGTGCTGAGGGGATAATGATGGATAAGACAGTTCCCAGCCCCTCCAAGAAGCTCACAGAGCATAATTGCTACTGTGTTTATTTCCTGCTTCACACAGTATTTAAAACTGTATTTCTAAAGTACCAGATTTGAACTTGTTGTAGAAGACTACTAATATTTCCTTAGTTTTTCAAGTCCACGGTTTGTCATAGCATGCATGGTGTTGTAGCATGCAGTGTCCTGCTTGTGTGAGTGAAGAATGCATATAGCTACTTCTATACCCAGGTGAAAAAAATTATGAAGGCACAAATGTTTGTAGTTAGCGTGTCTTAAAATACAAATGAATGAACCATAGATGATAGACTTACACGCTTTCTGAAGCTCGTTGGTTCTTTTTATTTGTTTTGTTTTTTAGCTTCAGAAGGTATTTCAGTACTGAGCCTTCTTACTGTCCAATTCATTCCTTTGATTTACAAATCATCTGTACTTTCTGGTGTTTAACAAAGCTCCCTGGTTAATCATAATGTTCTGTTCTTGAAAATTGCAGCCTCCTACCACCCAGAACAGAAGCTAGAGAGCAACTTTCTTTTTGAGGGTAGTTTTGCTACTAAAATCCATAATTTTGAATCCCAGAGCTCTGAGTTATGTCATCCTTCACTTCTTCAGTTGCAATAGGAATTTTCAGAAAATGATGGATAGATTAGCAAGCACTCTTCTTCCATAGAGGAAGAACTGATGCCCAAAGAAGTGAGGAGACCTCAAAGATGCCTTGAAAAGATCTGGCACACAGGAACCTGGTGGAACACGAGGGCATCTTCTCTGGGATGAAAAGTCTGCATTTCCTTAGGGTTTTTTTTGGGGGGAGGTGCAGGGTTCTCCTGATGTTCTTCCTATACACATGGCTCTCAACTTGAGGACAATCTCATTATGTGTCTGAGAGAGAGCTACTGCCTCAACATCTGTTAACATTTCTATAACAGGAGTTCCAGCAAAAAGATAATTTAATATATACCTCCATAGACTGAATATAATGCAATGTTCCTTAGACCTTTTAAGCATTATAGTTCAGAATAATAAATACCACGTACTGAGTGCCATGTTTATATATGGTATATTACTCATGTTCGCAATAAGGCAGAACGTATTATGAAACGCATTTTACAAATTGAAAAGCAATATGCTAAGAGTTACACAGATTGTGAGTGAAATCAGGCTCCATCTCGCTCCCCTCTGCACCGCTTAACCATGTGCATGCTGAGAAATGTGTCAGTAGCCGTTGTGGTCATTGCGTGAATGTAATCATTTGGATACTCTTGAGGAACCACCATTGTATTTGTGAGCCGCCACTGACCAAAATGTCATTACACAGTATATGACCATACTTCTCAAGCTCAAGCCATCCCACTATACGACAATCTAATGGCCACAATGGGAAGGGAGAGAGCAGTGCCACTCCAGGTTCAAAGCATAACATGATGAATTTAAGGTTGGAAAGTTTACCCCAAACATCCTTCGTTAAGTCTGTGTGCCTAGCCTGGATTATTGCACCCTCCTCACCATCGCCACCATGTCCACAATGGTACCCTTGGGAGACTCAAGAAGAAAGGTGACAAGAGTTACCCCTGTCTAGTGCCCACTTCCAATCAGCCTTAGCGGAACAAGGAGTAAACTGCAGGCAGGGCTTTCTATGGGCCAATTTGTTTTTAATAATAGTCCCTTGCCAGTTAGCCCTATGTGTCTAATTGTAGGTTGGAACTGAATTCAGAAAGTACCCAATAGAAACTTGTACTTGCAGCAGGGAAAGTTAAAGACACTATGGTCTCATTGTTGACCTAGAACTGGAGGAACGAGACAATGTGCCTTTCTACAACTTTACCAGAAAACAAAAGAACACAACTTCATAGGGAAAGAAGTCATGTCTAGAACAAGGCCGCAGATAGACACTAGCCAATAGAACTCAGTGCAGGTTGATCTTTTTCAGCAGTCACAGTGGTTGCATTCAGAGTGAAACAGCTTCTATGACTGTCCCCTGCGTAGCTCAGCACTTTACATTTAAATCAGAAACTGATGCTTCCATACATAAGGGAGGTCTACTTGTGATAATAAGGAAAGTAACAATAACCAAATCTGTATGATATTTGCACACTTAAGAGATTTCCTGGACAATACAGCGGCATGATAAGTTTCCTGCTCTAATGCCACATAGCCTCTCCGTAATCAACCATTGCTTGTGACCATGTGGCCAT